CCTTCTCTGGGCATTAGGCAATGTAGTAAAGGATTCCAGAAAAATGTCAACACTACTGACACTCATATTATTCATATTATTAATACTGTTTATTTTTTCAGTGGCCAACCTTCTACGTGCTTCTATCTTAATGAAGGATGTATTTATAGGATGGCGGCCACAGGCCACCAAATGCTCAGGTGGGAGCCTCCAGCCATCCCAATGTCAACCTGGCTTCCAAGCCCCTGGGGAGCTTCCTCCTTTTCAAGCTACCTTTGGGATTTCTTCTCTTTTCCTGCTGCCCTTCACTGACCATCCCTGAGGCTTGCCAAGGGAAGAGCTTGCTTGCCCAGGCTCCCTACTGAGCAGTTTTGTGGGTCCCAGTGGTCATTGTCTGTTGTGGCAGGTGGTATTGGTACGGCTGAGTTCCGCCTTCTTCTGTCCCCTACAGCCCATCCACTTCCTGCCAAGGATGGAGACACTGACCGCAAGAAATGACTCTCATCACCCCTCTCTCTGAGCAGCAAGAACGGAAATGTCTTGATTCTGCTCCAAAAAGGAAGGGAATTGTGGTCTACTCTCTGGTTTCCAAATAACCCCTGTAAATGGCTGTAGGGTTCTTGATTGCTCTACTCCAGCAGTTCTTGGATTTTAGTTTACAAAGAATCTTCCTTCAGAATTGGTCAAGGAGGCAACTTTGCCTCTGTCTAGTGTCCATCCAGGGCTTTGCATTGTTACACAATACTTCTTTGCTCTCAGATGAATTTCTACCTTTTTATGTTGAACTTTTTAGCTTTGATCATAGGGTGGTCCAGACAATTTATGTTTCCAGTGCTGGGGATCAAACCCAGGACTTTGCAGATGCCAGGCAAATGCTCCACCACTAAGCTACATCTCCAGCCCCCAAATTTCTTAAACACTGATGAACTGTAAGAGAGGGAAGAACAGTAAAGCCAGGGTTTGGGTTTAGTGAATCATGAAGACTTGGTCTGTGGGGAAGGGGTGGAGGATGAGTCCATTTATTTTCCAGTGAGTCTCTGGAAAGGTGTTTATTGGGATTTAAAATATATATATATCATCCTGCAATCTTTTAACTTTTCCTTTATTCATTCTTTCCTAAAGCCCCACAAAGTTCTCCACTAGGGCTATTCTAGCTTTAAAACTGAGCCTGGTGAGGCAAGAATCTCCCAATGGAAGCATCCCCTACTCATCCAGAAGTAGGAATAGGGTCATTCCTCTCTCCTGCCCTCCTCCCAGGGCTGACACACACCTGGCCAGGATCCAGGAGGCAGAGCCTTGGAAGGAGCCCTCTTAAGGCAGAGGATTCCCTCCCCTGTGCTGCACAGAAGTCACTTTACATTTCAAAGCATGCCCAGGATCTATTTCAGGATGGGAAAGGGAGCTGCCCCCAAACAGGAGCAGTAATCTCGTGGGAACTAGACTGTCCCCTCAGGTGATAAGGGTTTCTCTGCCGCCACTTTCAGATGCACAAAATTAGATGAAAGGCTCCCTAAATGAGGAAGAAAAATGGGAAGTTCAAAAGGAGAGACAGGAAGTCCAAAAGGAGGGGATTCTGTGAGGGGTCGTAAGGGTCCAGAACTGTACTCCCCTGCTGGGAAGCCAGGCCCAACAGAGCTAGTGCAGAGGTTTTCAAACTTAAAGAATGTTTCAGGACCCCTTAACCTTTAGAAGTTAGGAAGACTTCAAAGAATGTGTTTGTGTCTACCTATTCTTACCATATTTAAAATCAAGATTGAGAAACTTTGAAATGTTTATAAGTTCATTAATTTAGGAATAATAATCAGAATCCCATTATTGGGTCTGGGGGTGTAGCTCAGTGGGAGAGCACTTGCCTAGCACGTGTAAGGCCCTGTGTTTGATTCCCCAGCACTGCTGAGAAGAAAAAAAAAGAACCCCATTATCTGTTATTATTGACGTATTTTATGATAAATATATTTTCAAAACAAGCTGTAGTTCTTGAAAAGGATGGCATTGCTTTAGAGTTTTATAAAACTGTTTGACTTAACAGAAGCCAGCAGGACTCTTGGAAGCTGCCCCTGTGCAAGTTGTTTTGGTGGTTGTTTGTGAAAAAAGCCCCCAGGTCACACAAATAGGCAGTTGGACAGGAGAACACCAGAGACTCCCCAAAGGGTCTTAGGGACCTAGGCTTCACTGGGAAACATTTTCGGATGAAGAAGTCCTTCTCATACCCCAGCACCCCACACTTTGACCTTTCATCTATTTAAATGCTGAGGACGCTTCTCTGTTCTCTAAAAAGTGTGGGGGCATGTATTTGTTGGATGGATTCAGTCCATGTGAAAGGGGAATGTTGCTGCTCTGCTTGTCCAGGACACTGTGTGCTGGTAAATGTGCAACAACCCACAGAGGTCTGTCGGGTGGCCGAAATCCTGGTTGTAACATTTGCTGATTTCTTTGAGTAAATACTCTCACCATGGCAGATTTCAAACGGCATGTCACTGACCAAGGGGAGAGCTAGGGACAGGTTATAAAGCCCCAGCAATTGCTGGCCCAACCCTCTCCAGGCTGCTGTTGCCTGAATGGTGACCTATGGGGCATGGCAGGTGTAGAACCAGTGCACAGCTTTCTTACAGCTTTGAGAGTTACCCAGAGATGCACAGCTGCCTTGCTGAATGGCTAATTCACATCTGTACTTGTTTTCTCTGTATCTCTCCACAGACAAGGAACATGTAAGTGTATGATCTTGCAGAAAATAATTTTATTTGCCTTAAAAAAAAAGTCCTGAGAATCAGATTAAGAAAATTGATTTCTGAGAACCAGGAGGTTTGGGTGCAAGAGATATTTATAAAATTGTTATAAGCCAAGTGGGACATACGCCAGCACAGGCCAATTGAATGGTGAGTATCCTGTCATTCATACAGAACTTGGAAGTCTTCACAGTCAAGTCCAAGTTCAGCTTTTGTAGTTATAAAATACAGCATTTCTGACTTGAATCAGTTTCTTTTAGCAGATAGATGTGATTTTAACTCAGGACCTGCCCAAGTGAGGAATTTTAAAATGTTCATTCCTTCCTTCATCCCTTGTAGTTTTAGACTTCAAATTCTATAGATTCTAACTTTTTCTAACCTCTATGAGACATGCCAAGTGCTGGAAAAACAAAAACAAAACCCTTTTTGAATGTTGTAATGTTCCATCATTTTTTTGTAAAAAGAAAACAGTGAACAAAATCCTTTTAACTCAAGGATCTGAGTTCAGGTCTTGGTGGACTCAAGCAATTTGGTAGCAGAGAAATCCTTTGCAAAACAACAGTGAAAATGTGTGGCATTCCCAGTGCCCCCAAGGATCACAGAAACACAAGTAGACAGCAAGCCTGTCTTGCATTTGCATTTATACTTGAATGGAACTTCACAGGCCTGACTTCTCTCTTCACAGTAGAAGAAAATCCTTAGGAGCCAGCTTTGGTGTTGGGTGCAGGTGTTTCCTCAACAGTCTAAATAAATCTTCAGCTAATGAGCAGCGCAGCAGTCTGTTCTGGTACATTCAATTTTTTACCAAGATGGACCACTGGGGATTGGATTCTGTCTCCAGCAGACACGGGTTTAAGTGAGCTCCATAGTATACCTTCCAAAGGGGCCTTTAAAAGGGACCTCCAAGTATCATGGCTAATTAACTCAAACAAACACAAAGGCATTTCTTACACTCACTATACATGGGCAGACAGTCATGAAGTTATTTTGAAAAGCAGCATGAATTTATATGAAGTTTCACAGCTTTGTCCCCTCCTCCTCCCCATCTCCCTTTCAGGCATGTAGTTGTTTCACTTTGCCAAAGATAAATCCGTTCCAAGAATGCCACTGGACACGAACTGCAATAGCTTTTGACTTAGTGCATACCTTGGAAGAGAGAAGCTAGCTTTCCTTGGCAACTTTGAATAGTCAATCCACACAAACTTCACCTTTACAGACACGGGTTTTTCTTTAGAGGCAGCAACAGGATTTGGGGCAGGTATAGTTGGAGAGGGTATATTGTAAACCTGTTATTTTTTTGTTGTTCTTTTTGAGACAAGGTCTTGCTAAGTACCCAAGGCTGGCCTCAGATTCAGGGGCTGAAGGTACAGCTCAGGGGTAGAACACAAGTTTAGCATGCCTAAGTCCTGGGTTCAATCCCCAGCATAACAACAAAACACCAAAAAACAAAACCAAAACAAAACCCATCCTCAATTTCTCTTTTACACAGCTCAGTGTTTCCCTGTCATTCAGAGCGGTCAGTCATTCTGGATGGTTTTCTTTTCTGGGTGGCTTAAGGACTGCCTTCAAGAAGGTAGACATTGTGTTTAAAAAAAGGAAAAGAGGTTTCTAAAATTATATTATGCCTTCCTTTACCTCTTTCAACATACTACACTGAACAGTTAGCAACCTTTTCCAGAAAATTCGTCATTAATATGGCTACTAGACATTAGTGGATGATGCTTCCAGGCCTGAGGGATAGGGGCCTTGGCACATGTGATACTTTTCCAGTTTGCTTCTCAGAATCTGTTTTTGTTTTTTGAGATAGGGTTTCACTCTTAGCTCAGGCTGGCCTTGAATTCAGGATCCTCCTGTGTGCTGAGATTATAGGCATGTACCACCTTGCCCAGTGCTCAGAAAAGGATTTTGATTCCTCCTTCACCTGGTGTTAATGTTGTGAAGTTCTTTTCCTTCCTTAAATGGAAATCTCCTACTGCATTGGAAACTGGATGATGTCACCAGTCAGAATTGTATATAAAGCGTAATGAGCCCGAAGGGCTGGTCCATAGGGAGTCTACAACAGCAAGATCCCTGACTTCCATTCTGTTGCACTCTGAAGTGCATGTTTTGTCCCGGACGGCTGACTGCACCATTTCACTGAGTCCCAAGCAGATAAAAGGTGAGGAGATTTTCATTAGAAGAAACGCAAATCACACACCCACCTGCATACACAGACATTTGCACAGTAGTGCTCCCACTGACTACCGCACTCAAAAATTTCCACCACACTCAAAAAGTAATTTTATTTGTGAAGAAAGGAAATATCTTAAATACCCACTTAGCATTTGTTTATACTGTTCTATTGTTTTTTTTTCTATAATGGAATGTGTGGTTCACTCACTGCAAAAGCCTTTGCTACACATTTGCATAGACTTGTCACTAATAAATCTTTTCTGTGCGTGTGAGTTTGTGAGTGTGTGTGTGTGTGTATGGTGCTGGGGACTGAACCCAGGGCCTACCATGCTAGGCAAGTGTGCTGTACCCCAAGTCCCTATATCTTTCTTGAGTAAGAAAATAAGAGAACATGAAGATAACTTTAAGTCAGTTTTGGTATTTTGGAGCCTTGCTGCTTCCTGTGTAAATTAACACACTAAGATGGTATAACAGGCTTACCACTTGTAAGGATGTAATAGTGGACAGGTGTTACATAACATGAATTTAGTTGAAATTCCAATAGAGCAACACCAATACCCATGTACTTGCTATGCAGCATAAAGACTTGTTCACTTTTGCCTCCTCACCTACCCGGTGGGAATCAGAGCTAAGCTGATTCAGCCTGCTGGGCTGCCTGACAGGCTCTACCTGCTGGAAGTCAATTGCCTTCCATCCTCTCCTAAACACACAGGGAGGCAAGGCAGGGAGTTTGTGAACCCCGTCCACAAGGGCTTGAAGCAAATCTGGGGCCAGGGCTGTCCTTATGAATGAGTCTCTTTCACATCTGTCTCTTCACATTTACCAAGTTCCTCCTCATCCCCATGGATGAGGTTCTTGTGTCTGGGTTTTTATTTTTTCCTGAGTGTATTTTCAGGAATACTATACTGCTACAGCTTATTCTGTAACGACATTTCAATTAGAAAACATATATGTATGTATGTGTATACACATGTGCACATGAGTGCAGTACATATGAGTATTTGAAAGCAACAGCACCAGGCCTCCTGGCTCATCCAGTTCAGGCTACATCCTGGCAGCCACAAACCACAAAGGGGATAGTCCTCAGTTTCTTCCTTTTGACACTTCAATGGGAAAGAACTTGTTAGTGTATAGACTCTGAAAGAAGCTTAGGGACGTTTATAAGCTACTCTTTAGCAGGTTTCATTTTCAGACAGAATGGTGAGATCGGCCAGCTGCTCTTCATGTGACTTTCACAGTAAACCCTTCAAAGAATGAAGAGTGAAGCTAATTCGTTTCTCCTCCTGGAACTTGTCCTTCTTTTTCTTTTTGTATTTGTATAATGATCATAAGCTATGAGTATAAGATATTACAAGATGCAAGGGGTCTCATGTTCGGGAAGAAATCAAAATAATCAAAAAAAAGAAAGAAAACTCAGATCCCAGAGGCAGGGTAGGAGGTGACACATTCTTTCACAGAGCTGTTACACACAATGCAACTGTTCTTAAGCAGGAATGGAAAAAAACCCAGACACGGCTGAGAAGGAAGCTGGGTCTTGGCCTGACAGCTTTTAATGTCTTTAAAGTTTGGTGGGGCATCAAGCGGCTTTTCCGGAATAGGCCAAGGAAGACAAGTCCAATTTAGTTTTTAAGGCTTCAGTCAGCTCCCGGGCCAGCAGCTCATGGAGGCACATGCCATCGTGGGAGTATACCCAGTTTTTCCCCGTCCAGTCGTAGCGCTTGGGTCCACTGGGAGACAAAACAAATGCACATTAAGTTCTTTAGGAGAATCACAGCAATATCCCCAAAGGCCCACGTGCTAAAGAGGGGCCCTATTGGGAGGAAGTGGAACCTTCAGGAGAGTGCCCTAGTAGAAAGAGGTTAGGTCACCAGAGGCATGCCCTAAAGGGGATATTGGGACTCCTACCCCTTTTCTCTCTTTTCGTTTCCTGGCGGCCAAGAAGTGAGCAGCCTTCCTTTGCCACTTGCTCCCACAATGATGTATGACCTGGCCAAAGGCCCAAAGGCAACAGTGCCAAATAAACATGGACTGAAACCTTTGAAACTGTGAGCCAAAATAAATACTCCCTCCTTTTAAGTATATTTTCTGAGGTATTTTGTCACAGCAACGGAAAGCTGACGGACAGATTCTGTAAAGGCTGCTGCCACCAAGAAACTGACTGAATGAAACTTTACAGTGTGACATGTAATGAGGCAAATATTTGATTTCTTGACTTAAGAGTCTTTCTGTTTAATAAGGAGGCAGGAGACTCCTGAGTTCAAGGCCAGCCTGGGCAAAGTTAGTGAGACCCTAGCTCAAAAACAAAGTGAAAATGACAGAACTCTTACTTAGCAAGTACAAGACTCCAGGTTCAATCCCCTGTACAGCAAAAACCCAAAACAAAACAAAACAAAAAGAGCAATTATACAATCTGTCCTCTGTAACACACCACAGAACAATTCTCAAGACCTGAAGACATTGACCCCTATTATTTGTGCGTCTCCATGCATCATCATTCTGATCTCTCTCTTTTCCTGCCTCACATATGACACTGGCTGTCTTTGAACAGGGTTTGTAAAATCACTGATGTGATGTGTGCCTTACCTATACTATCAGTAACGAGTGAGGTGAAATCCACATAACATAACCTTTGGAACAAACAAGTCAGTGGCATTATGCTTCCCAATGGCATGGGACAAAGGCCTCTAACCTATCCCAAACACCCCATCATCCCAAAAGGAGAACCAGTCCTATTAGCCAGTTATTCCTTCCTCCCACGGCAACTACCTATACTATTATTTTAAAAATTCTTCTTCCTAATTAAAATTTAAGTGTGAAATTGAGAGTTTGAATGCTAGTTCATCCACCTCATGCTCAATCATTGAACAAAAATGGCTCATGCACTTTGCTTCAGGAATGCTGTACACTGTGGTTCAGATGAGGGCCCCAAAGGCCTGTATGTAAAGGCTTGGTGACAGGGCAGTGGCAGCAGTAGGTATTGTGGAGATCTTTAAGAGGAGGGTCCTAGTGGGAGGTCCATAGATCATTGGGATATGCTAGCAAAAGGATTATGGGACCCTGGCCACTCTCTCTCTCTGTTTCCTGGCTTCAGATGTGACCGTTGCTCTTACACATGCTCCTGCCATGCTGTGCCTTACTCACGAGAGGCCAAACCAATGCCCTCCTATCCGCCCTCCCCCTGCATCTTGGACTCTGAGTCTCCAAAACTGTGAGCTAAATAAACTTTTTCTCTTCACATCAGGTATTTCATTGTGTAATGTGAAGCTGACTAAAACATGGTACCTGTATGGACAAATTTGTAGCTGGTTTTTGCCAGATGTATATGACATGTGTCCCAAAATCTACCTCTTCATGGCCTAGCAGACAACAATGGTGCATGGTGATGCTCCAATGGAGGTAAGACAGAGCACTCTGGGAGCCTATCAGCAGGGCACTTGAGCCCAGCTGGAGCACTCAGGAGAGTGCTTTCAAACTCTGAGGCTAGAGGAGTTTGCAAGGGGTTTGAGGAAGGCTGGTGGGAAGCATCTTTTAGGGGTATAAAATGTCAAGGGTTCCTACATTGCCAACCAAATGCAAACCCATTCCAATAATGCAGATAAAAGGGCAAACCAGTGGCTCTTATTTAATGTGCACAAAGTGCTGAACACAAACCACCTGGGCCACAAACAAAGAACAGACAAGGGCTAGGGCATGGATAAACTAGGGCTGGACCTGCCTAACAAGCGCAAGGTCCTGAGTTCAAACCCCAGTAATGTCAGACGACAACAACAAATCAGAGAAAACCAGACCACTCCTTGGCCCAGTGCTCCAACTGTACTAACAGGTAAATAGGTAGAGTGTGAGGACCTCTCCCAGGTGGGCAAGGAAATGCTAGTTCCATAGGATCTGAAAAATTATCAACTGAAGAAAAAAAATCAGAAATGCATCTCTATGAAAGGTATTCTGGACTAATGTGAAAAGCTGAGAGGGAAAAAAATACTTTTTTTTTCCCCCTGAGGAACCTAGTATCTGTGACAAATGGCTACTCAGTAGATTCCTCCCCAAAATTCCCATATAAACTACAGATTAAAAAAGTACACTTGGATGTATACCATCACTCCATTACACTGTGCAAAGGCTTTCCCTGCTGGAAAATGTTCATCCAGATTGTAAGCATGAGGTGCTAAACCACCTGCCCCTGTCCTCACAGAGTAGGATTCCAGTCCTGCCTCAAAACCAGCACTTACAGCACCAGCGCCACCCTCTGGTGGTCAGCTCTGAAAATGGAACGGTCCTTCTATCTCCCAAACACTGTAGAGTTAACACTCAGTGTACTGTCCACCATGACTGTACCACCAAGACGTGCCTTGAAATGGATTTGGTCACAAACCAGCAAATGACACCCAGGCCTTGTGGCAGAAGCTTCCATCTACTGATGAAAGATATTCTACAGAATTTGTCAAACTTTTAAAATTTAGTATGTACTTCTTTCATAATGCAAAGCTTACTGACTATCTGAATGTCTAATTTTTCAGGTTTGTAAATTTATTAAGTGGCTTTAACACTGGTTTTCATTGTTGTCTTGTTTTCACTATGAAAAGATGGTTCAAGGAAAAGCTAAGTTCTATTTAAACATTTGAGGCATGTTTGCACACTGCTGTTTAAGTATCAGCATTGATAATGTGACATCATTGTGAGTGATGGCACTGCAGTTTAGGGCCACATAGCTGTAGTAAGGCCAGTGTCCTTCTGAAAGTTGACTTCTGGCTTTCATTTTTCCCAAAGATGATATGCTTGTAATCCATCATGAAAACAAGAGTGGCCAGAAGTACTTAGACAACTTAAAACAATCATTCAAATCTGCTTTTAAATTTGTAAATGAATTTACTTTGAAAAGAAGGATAATACAGGCCCTCTTGGTGCTTGAATGCTTCTTTGGTAAAATGGTCCCTGGGTCCCTTGCTTTCTGTGAAAGGAATGGCATGGGTGTGTAGACTGAAAACAGGTGGAGTGAGAAGTGCAAAAAATATGAAAAATTCCTTAAGATGTTTTCATTTACTATTAACACATACTTTTCAAAAAAAAACTGGGGGGCACTTCATTATCACAAAATTATACAAAAAATTTCGTAAGTACATACATAAAATATCAGGAAACAAGCTTTAAACTCACAAGATTATTAATATACACACATATTCCCACATTCTGAATAGTAACATTCTCAGTATAAGTCCACAGGTAATACTGAAGGTAACTTTGGGAACATAAAAATTAGATTTAAGCAGTGTATTTTAAATAAGAACTACATAGTTCCAGAGGTCAGATGGGTAAGCTGCAGAATATGATAAAACTTGGCCTACTGATTTATGGAGTTTTTTGTGTGGGGTTTTTAAAATCATAAAGGCAAGAAGTATTAGGTGTTTTAGAATTAAATAACAAATGGAAAATTGATTTCAAGGGGAAAAAAAGTACATTTGGAATTTCTAGGGAGTTATTATCCATGTTATTAATACATGCTTTTGGATAGGTTTTTGGTCACTTGCTTGTTTTTTTGCAGTGCTGGGGATTCAACCCAGGGCCTCCTTGGCACACGAGGTAAGCTCTGTATCACTAAGTTACAACCCAGTACCCAGTTGCTGCAAAGAACATTAGGTTTTCAAAGAGCTCCATGCTGGTTATATTGGACTCTTCCCAATTCCCAGCCAAAATGTACTCTTCAGAGGTGCAAGTGAATGACCCAGGACGGCCAGTCTGAGGGCTTTTGTGGGCATTTCTCTGTTCCTTTCTTACAGCCACTTCAACAGCAGCCAGACAGTGCAGGACGAGCTCTGCCTTCATGTTCTCAGGCTTTGAGACACATGCTGTCTGCAACATAATCTTTCATTCCTCTACTGAAAGGCAAGGGGATTAATGCCTTGGAGAAGGGACTTAAAACACTGTCCCACCTCCACAGGGTTTGAATCCACTACTGACAAGGGAATTCAACTGACCCTCAGCTGAGATGCTCAAAACAAACTGGTGGTTAAATTTTAACCAGCTTTGAGGACAAAGAGCAGCCAGCTCAGATGCTGCAATATTAAAAGTAGCTTGTATTTGATTATTATTTTTTGCAATGCTGGAGGTGGAACTCAGGGCCCTAGCTCTACCACTGAACTATATCCCTAGCCCCTAAAGTCAAAGCAGTGAGTTTTCTTTTGTGGTGTTGAATATCAAACCCAGGGCCTTTCACGTGCTAGGCAAATGCTATTCCACTGAGCTTCCAATCCACCCTCCCCCCACAAGCAATGACTTCACAGAGTAGAACTGTCTAGGGAGGGTCTGAAAAGCTACGTACTTCAGGTCTAGTTAGCCTTCTGATGCCTGCTGACACTAACCAGCAGGGAGAAGTTTATATAAATACCGTAAGGCGTCCTGCTGAGGATGACAGCCCTAAAGCACCAGGAAGGGGTCTTGCACCTGACCCTTCTCAAATGGCCAACAACACTGCATTTCAAATGACTTTAACTATTACAGATTTTGACTTCTGAACATACCTGGAGGGAGAAGACAACCAGATTTGCTTGTTTGGGGTCTGCTTGTTGATCACATAGGTTCCTAGATCTCCGCCCAACTTAATCGTTAGCACACCACTCTACAGGGACAGGTGGAAGACAGCAAGAAGGAAATAAAACAGACCAAGTTAGCACAGTGCCATAATTGCTTCGTGTTTTGTCACATTTCACTTTTCACAATGGACACCATAAATCAGTGGCTCTATGGGGCTGGGGGTGTAACTCAGCACATGCATTCTGGGTTTAGTCCTCAGCATCAAAAGAAAATTCTTCAGTATGTAGAAATAGGAGATTGTGCAGAAAGAATCAAAACAGGATTAATCACAGCAATGTTTATTATTTATTTATTTACTTTTTGTGGTACTGCAACTTGAACTCAGGCCTACACCTTGAGTCACTCCACCAGCCCTTTTTTGTGTTGGGTATGTTTGAGAGAGTTCTCAAACTATTTGCCCGGGCTGGGTTCAAACTGCAATCCTCCTGAGTAGTTAGGATTATAGACGTGAGTACCGGCACCTGGCACACAGCAATGTTAATATCTCTTAGTGCTTTTTCTCTTCCTGGTGAGGTGGGCAAGGTAAGAATGGTTATGACCTGTCTGAGGTCCTACAGCTGGCTTGTTGCCCTCAACCACCAACCAGAACATACTAAAGGACATCAAAAAAAAATGCAGATTCAAACTCTATTAATAGAGTGTCAGCCCAAGCATCAGATAGAACAAATCCAGTATGAAAAAAAGAAAGAGAAGGAAAGAAAGAGACAATCAGCGTCCCCCCCACCCCAGCCCCTTGCTTGTCTTAGAAGAACAATGGTGTGTGCACAGCGTTAGCTGTGTTGATAGCCACCCCAGCCTAGGTTTGCTATTTCCAGATCCTTCCCAAGGGTCTAATAAGCATCTCAGATGCTCCTCTCAGCTCTGTTTTCCTCTAAAGAGCCTTGCACTCTTAAGTCTGGTGGGTCCATCTTTGCTCAATAAATGCACATTTATATTTGAAAACACTCTCTCCAAAAAGGAGCACTTTACAAACAAGGCCTTGGTCTCTTTGGAAAGGGCAAGGTATGAAAAAAGAGCTACAGTGAAGTTCCCCATATTGGAACTGTGAGCAGGAGGCTTAGGCAGGAGGGAGTCTTATGCTTCCTCCACTGTGCGTGCCTTGTCTAGACACAGGGCGGCCTTTCTCTGCATATTCCAGAAAGCATGTCCAATCAGGGGTCCCCAAACGATTCTTACAGCACACTTTCTCAAACACAGTCAGTCCTTGAAATGCAGGAGGATGGAAAAGTAATAACATACTAAAACTCATGAGGCATAGGATGGGGTGAACACTATTGAATTCTTCTTTTTCTTTCTTTCTTTCTTTTTTTTGAGACAAGGTGTCACTATATCTGTATCTATCTATCTCAAGCTGTCATTGAACTTGAGATCATTCTGCCTTAAGACTCCCAAGCATACTTTTTTTTTTTTCTTCCATACTAGGGCTTTGAACCTAGGGCTTTGTGCATGCTAGGCAAGCTCTTGCTCTATCCCATCCCTGACTCTTTTAATACCTTTCTTTCTGATTAAAAAAGAAACATACAGAAAAAGCTGAGACACTGAGACTGCAGGTAGAAGAAGGAAAGTGAGGAAGAACACTAACAAAACAATTAGCTGGCATTTACTTAGTCTCTAGCTTGTGCCTGGCTTTGTGTCTGGCCCTCTGGGGAAACTGCCTCCAAGCAGACCATAACCACTGGCGGTATGAATCACTCCCCAGTTTTACGGCTCAGGGAAACACAGGTTAAGAGCAGTGAAGAACATTTAGTAACTAGCAGAGCTGATCTCAAACCCAGCTCCGTGTGGGTTCAGAGACACTGCTCTTTCCATAACAGGAAGCAGTCTCAACTCCTTTGACCTTCATTCTCAGGCAGCAGCTGCCAGGTTTTATTTTTTTAATCACAGTGAAAACATGTAACATTGAATTTACCCTCTTGACCATTTTTCAGTACACAAGTTCAGTAGTGTTAAGTACATTCACATTGTTGTGAAACAGATATCCAAAACATTTCACCTTACCCAGCCATTATTAACCAACTATTTTTCTACTTTGTTTCTATGATTTTTGACTACTTTGTCTTTTTAATTGACAAAAATTGTATATATTTATGTTGTTTCCATGATTTTGACTTCTTTTAACTACTTCATATGAGTAGCATAATACAGTATTTTTTGTGACTTGGTTGCCAGTTTCTAAATGCATCTTTTAAAAGGACAAGGATTATATTGCACACTTTTTAAAAAAATTCCTAAACCCTACCTTCACTCTTTTGTTAAGACTACATTTCATTTACCTAAAAAACTTCTTCCTCCCTTCCCCTCTCCTGCCTTCCCCTCCGCTCCTCTCCTTCCTTCCCTCCTTCCTTCCTTCCTGTACTGGGGTTTGAACTCAGGCTTTCTGCTACTTGAGCCACACTCCAGGCCAAATTTCTTAAAACTGTACAATTCAGTACTTTCAAGTATTTCACAAAGTGATTTCATAAAGTATAGAAACATAGCTATTTAACTGCAGATTACGTCTACCAATTCTAAAAGAAACCCTTTGCTGTGTCCATTAGCCATCACTCCTTGTCCCTCTGTATCTCCACCTACAGCTTCGTGGTTTATCCGTCCACGTGCTAACAGGCTCAGGAAGCAACACACAGTCACTTCTAACTTGACTTATTTGCAGTCCGTAAATGCCATCGTGTGTTGTGCCATAGACAGCTGGCTGAGGATCAAGATGTAGGGGAAAGTGCTTAAGACCATGTCTTAAGATGTGGGTTCCAAGTCCAGTCTCCTTACTGACTGCTTGGTCCTCATGGAAGTCCCATTTCTCTCCCCTGGCTCCTGACAACATCAGTCTGGCCTCCTCCAGGGACTCAGTGCAAGATTGCAGCAGCAAAGGCAGGAGACCATTCATGTCCTGCTGAACCCAAAACCTACTCTTCTTAACCCAAAAGCCTAACATGAAAAACAAATGAATAATAAATATGAGAGCTCTTCTAGCTCACAGACTCAAGCTATCTCTCCACCTGGTGTCTTCTCCACAGTCTACCAGATCCCACACAAGACAGTGACCACTCTTGCTCCAGGGCCTGTGCAGGCATCTGTGGGAAGGTCCCTCTCAGCTGGGGCACGAGTCCCAGAAGCCTCTTGTGCTCCATACCACCTCAGTACTATCCTCACTGTGTTTGGTGCCACTTTGTTCCTTTGTCCCTTGGCCCTGCCCTCCACTCCTTTAAAGACCTTGAGAACAGGAGATCTGGCTTTTCCCTGTGCCGTAATGAGTGTGTAGCAAATGCAGAGGGATCCACAGTACATCTGTGGATGAATGAATGAGATACCAAACAGTGACCACACAGATAATGACCAGGCACTGTGGTGCTGCCTGCTGAAGTGAAGGGCAAGGTTACTCAAGGTAAAAATCTCAACACTCAGCTTGCACACCAACCTGTTTACTGTGAGTAATTAAGATTCTTTTCCCATGGATTTTGTAAAGGGCAGTGGCAAAGGGAAAGAACGTGGCTACTGTACTGGTTTCCCAGGGGACTTTAATGCTTTGCAACTGTCTGCAAGTAGAGCACATGAAGAAGGCTTTCCATTCATCATTATCATTATTATTTTGCCTTCCCGCTTGCTAGGCAGATGCTCTACCTCTTGTGCCACGCCTCAACTCTCATTATTATTATTCCTTAGGCAATCAGAGTCTATTTTCAGAGTGTGGGCACACTTATGTGCAGAGAAGGGAGTATGCTAGTCAAACTTTCTTTGCTGTGACAAATAACCTGAGCAAATATCAACTTAAAGGAGGAAAGAGTTATTTGGGGCACAATTTCAGAGGTTTCAGTCCATAGGCCTGTGGTGGGGCAGCACATCATGGGATAAAGGCCTGGTGAGGCGGACCTACTTACTTTGTGGTGACCAAGAAGCAGGGAGGGCAAGAAAGAGGCCATGGACAAGATACACCCTTTGATGATGATTCACTTCCTCCAGTGAGGTCCTGCCACACAGTCTCCACCACCTTCCAATAGTCTACCCAATTATGAATTCATAAAAGGATCAATCCATCAATTAGGTCAGAGCCCTCAGGATCCAATCTCTTCTCAGTTACACCACCATCTGGGGACTAGGTCTTCAACATGAGTCTCTGGGGGACATTTCAGATCCAAACCCTAGCAGGAACATGCTCAAAAATATTGAGCAGTGGCTGGGACATGGGACTAACCAATCTGAGTAGACCCTGGCCCAGTCAGTGAGACTTATGGATTCCTGCTAGTTAAGATCAGCCCCATACAAGTGGGAGCAAAAATTGCAATTACTGTTGTAACCAGCTCATCCATAGAAAGAGACACACATGGGCTGGGGATGTAGCATGCACAAGGCCCTGGGTTCAACCCTCAGCATGGCCAGTAAGTAAATAAATAGACACATATGAGATGGCATGTTGAGACAGGGTACTTCACATACCTGTGACTTCTCCTTAAGGGTTAAGAATAATGAATATGAAGTACTCTACCATTTTTTTTCTATCACTTTAGCTGACAGTTGATTATTCTACCTAATCCTATGATTTAATCCAAAAATGCACATTTCATGACATTTCTTGGTATTAATTAATTGCTGTTAAGAGGATTAACTCTGTTGGGGTTGGGGGGAGGTGTGTGAAAGAGACAAAGAAGAGGAGGGGAGATTTTCTTCCAATGGCAGAGTGGCTTTAAGCAATATTCTAAGCAGACACTTGCTCACATCTGCCACCTGGTGGCCAGTCAGTACAGACCAGCCCTTTCTTTGCTTCTAGGACCTAGGCTAACATTTCATTCAACTCAGAACTTCTCAAACCAACAACTCCACATTAGAGTCACTAGGGAGATTAACAAATCCCAGTTCCCTTCCCAGGCCACACTCTAGAACAATTAAAAATAAACTTCTAGGGATGGGACTCAGGGATGCACATTAGATTTCTGGGTGAGCTTTTAAAAAATATACTTCTCAGGAATGCGGCCTGACCTGCCACATTGGAACAGACCAGCAGTGGGGCCGTTGCCTGTGTAGCCTGAGCAACTCTGGGCAAATCCCTGCCTAAGAACTAAGTGTTCCCTGTGCCCGTCTGCGACACAGGCACATGCCGGTATCCCAGGTGAAGCTGGGGAATGTGCTTTTTTGTTAATGCTGGGGATTTGAACCCAGGGCCTCAAGCATGCTAGGCCAACCACGTGAGGCATCTTCACCAGGAACCTATGTTTTTAGTTAGAAAAAACGCTCATAGAGGCAGAGTGACTTGCCCCAGGTCACTGGTCCAGTGGCTGTTGCACAGTGGCTGTTGCTGGTCTTTGGGTCCCACCCACAACCCTATGCTGCTTGATGCTTAATTCTGCTGAAAGGCATTCTTTACTGCAGTGAGCTACAATTCTTAGAGAGCAAATAGAAAAGATAAGTTAAGGGGTACCCCAAAGGAGACATCGTAGTCCTTTGATGTGTAGGGCTTGTCTGCGAGGTCTTCAAAAAACTCAGCCAAGGAGTCCAGCGTCTCCTCTGCTAGTCTTTCATAGGTGGTCTCATCTAGAGAGCTGCAGGGGAAACCAAGTCGCCAAAAACACCATTACCAAACTGCTCCGACTTATTAATATCCATCTATGCATTTACTTTTTTATTTACGCTTTCTAAATTGATGAAAAATATCTACCATGCACAGAGTAAAAATTTAAACAGCATGAAAGGAATTACAGAGAGCAGGGGGCTTTCTTCCAAACAGCCCCCACCCTAGTCTATTCTGTATCCAGTTAGAATTTCAATTCTTTTTCCTTTTTATATTTTTGGTGGCACTGGGGTTTGAACTCAGGGCCTCTTGCTTGCTAGGCAGGCGCTCTACCATTTGAGCCATGCCCTTTTAATTTATTTTTGAGATATGGTCTCCCTAACTTGCCCAGGCTGTCCTCAAACTTTTGATCCTCTTGCCTCATCCTCCTGAGTAGCTGGGATGACATGTGTGTGCCACCATGCTCAGCTCATTGCATTTTTATTTTATGTTATTTATTTCATCCATCACTTTCAGATGGACATTGAGGTTGTTTCCATTGCTTTTGTTATTAAAACTTAAGTTGGGCAAACACAAAGTGGGAAAAAATATTTATAGTACATCTATCTTAGGGCTGGTGGAGTGGCTCAAGTGGTAGAGTGTCTGCCTAGCAAGCATGAGGCCCTGAGTTCAAACTCTAGTACTGCCCGCCCCCCAAAAAATCGATTTATATCTATCTTTAAAATGACTAGTCCGGAAGACAGAAAGAACTACAAATCAAGAAAAAGAAATCACAATAGAAAAATGGGCAAAATACTTGAGATTTCATACAAGAACAGATATGGAAAAGGCCAGTGAACACGTGAAAAGGTGCTAAACTCTGTTAACTTTCAGAAAAATGCACATTAAAAAATGAGGTACTGATGAACATGGTGGCACATGCCTAGAATTCCAGCACCAAGACGGGAGGGTCAAGAATGCCAAGCCAGCCTGAGCTAGAGAGTGAGACCCTGGGCCAGAAACCAAGGGCTGGGGACATAGCTCAGGGGTAGGGCACTTGCAAGGCCTTGGGGGTTCAATCTCAAAATCACAAAACATCACCACCAACCCCTCAAAAAACAAACAACAAAACTTCCAGAATGTTTAAGTGAAAAAGACAGAAAACGAATTTTCCAGAAAAGAGGCAACTAGATCTTTCAGATATGGCTGGCAGACAAGGGCAGTGTCCACTGAAGTTGAACACATTCACACACGTGAGGAGTACACACAGAAATGCTCACCCAGGCTCCCCAAAGACACGCACTTCCCTGGCATGTTCAGAGCAGAACTCTCCTGTAGTGCCAAACTGGAAACTGTGGGTGCACCCGCAGCTAACATGACAGATGCACTGTGGCAGTCATGCTACCCAGTGAAACAGTATTGTCCTGAACTATCACAACAGTATGGCTGACATTCTATCTCTGGAGCTGGGTGCTGGCTATACAGGTTATATTGTTTCTTTCTGTCTTTGTGTGTGTTCAGTTTTTGAAAAATTATCCAGTTGGGCATCAGTGGCTCACTCTTATAATCCTAGCTACTTGAGAGGCTGAGATTGTGAGGATCAAGGCTCAAGACCAGCCTAGGAAAATAGTGCATGAGACTCCATCTCTAAAATAATCAAAGCAAAATGAACTGGAGGTGTGGCTCAAGTGGTATGATACCAGCTTTGCAAGAATGAAGCCCTGAGTTCAAACCCCCCAACCCCCATCAAAAAAAGAAATAAGTAAAAATTATCCAGTTGTGTATTTATAAATTTAAGACATTTCTTAAAGTAAAATTGTATAAATTTTATTTATAAAAAGAGGTTTTTTTTTGAGATAGGGTCTCACTATATAGCCCAGGATGGCCTTGAACTTGTGATCCTCTTGCCTCAGCCTCCTGAGTGCTGTGTTTATAGATGTGTGCTACCATGCCCAGCCTAATTTTTAGTTTTAAAACACTGTTATAGCCTTGGCTACACAGCAAGACCTTGTCTCAAAACCTTCCCCCACAAAAGAAAAATCAACAACAACCAAACAAATAACAAAACAAAAGCCCCACAAAAACCCCAGAGGTCAGAAGGAGCCCCTGTGAAAGGGAGCTGAACTTGGACAGCCTGCCTTACCTGACTTGACTGGACCTGACCCCTTTGGACAGGAGGGGCTAGAGGACAGCAGCAGAGGGGGAGGGGTGCTGGAGGCAGGAGCAGAAAGTGGGTGCCACAAAAGACACACTTAAAATGTGCAGTCTGCAGTGTTGGCTTAGAGATTGTGGCAGGGTCACAAACACAACTATGGCAGATAGAGAATCTTCCAGGGCTCCTAAGGACTTGTGAGCCATGCAAAGCTGCTGTCAGTTTGGCGTCTGTGATCACCTTCATGACCAAGAGTACGTCTACTGAGCACACATCCTGGGGATGCTTAGTATGTCCCTGTGTATGGTGGCCTCTTGTTGCTTTCAGCAGGTGGAATAGGAAACGATGACCCAGGAAACAAGTAGCCTGTTTGTAAGGAGATGGAACAGGAACGGAGCATTTTGGGATTACCAGCTGTGCAAAGATGGAAAAGTCAAAGGGAGAATCTAAGGTTTTGAACACGAAAGGCCTTCCGTTAAGCCAAAAAAGAGACCTGATCCTGATGAAAAAAGGATTGGAGATTGCTGGTCCCCAATCTTATTGTTTGATATGAACTTAAGGTACCTGCTCTTAGTTTCAGAGAGCTGGCATGGGTGCATGCAAAGAAATAAGGCAGCTGCTGGATGCTTCCATCCAGGAAAATTTGTTTGTTTTTTGAGACAGGGCATCAAACTCATGATTCTTCTCCCTCAGCTTCCCTAGTACTGGGATTATAGATGTGCTCCACTATGCCCAGTTTCCAGGAAAGCTTTGGTAAATTGGGCTAACTGGGAGTAAATAGGTCAAAAGCCTACTAGGTTTTGTTTTTTTTAAATCCCATTATCAAAGCGGGCCTGGCCCAAAACAGACCACTGAAGCCTTAAAACAGCTCTGGGAACCTCAAACGGTTCTCAGCAGAATCGGGCTCTGAAGGCTGCTCACCCTCAAGGATAGCATGCTTCCCACTGCCTGCCTCCCCTGAGGCAGAGGAAGACAACAGGCCAGGAGCCTCGCAGAGGCTGATCTAGGGTAGAGGTTATCCCATGTTGCCATGTCTCTCCTCTGAATGGGAATGGGAGCTATTGTACTGCCCCTGCCCCTGCCAGCACCGTGCATGTGTCAGAAGAAGCCAGTCCGAGACCTGAGAGAGAACATGGCATGCCACCTGGAGGTCTTGGGCTCTGGGGTGGGTGCAGTGACCCTCCTGGCCCTTTCACTGACTCCCTGGGGAGGAGAACCTTTGTGTGTGGGTGAGGGTCCTGCAGATAGCAGTTGGCAGAGGGGAGACTACAGCACTGCTGGACAGCTTTCCACAGGGGAATCCAGGACACTCACTAGCCTGCCTTCTCCAGTCTTCCTCGCAGTTAGCTAGGGACATGTGATTAAGTTTTTTTTTTTTTTTTTTTTTTTGTGGTACTAGGTTTTGAATTCAGGGCCTCACGGTTGCCAGGCAGGTGCTCCACCATTTGAGCCATACTCCTGGCCCTTTCTGCTTTAGTTATTTTTGAATAACCAGTGGCCTGGACAGTAATCCTTCTATTTATGCTTCTCACATAGTTGAGATCACAGATGTGCACGCCCAGCTTATTGGTTGAGATAAGATCTGTGAACTTTTTGCGCAGGCTGGCTGCAAACCATGATCTTCCTGATCTCTACCTTCTGGTAGCTAGGGTGACCGGCGCCCAGCTTAAGTTCGTTTCACTGAAATGTGAGTGAGGGTCAAGTGCCTCGTCCAGCCCCTTCTGCTGAATGGAACTTGGACAGGGTGACCCGACCTGAACAATGCACTGACAGGTGAGGGCTGAGCTGAAAGGCAGAAGGAGCCTGGCTCCCAACTCCTTTCATGGATGAGTGCTAACCCTGGACTGCCTGGAGTTGGGGACACAAATCATTACTAATTTGAGCCCCTATATTTTTTGGGTCATTTGTTACAGCAGCATGGCCTACTTTAACTAGGATACTGAAGAAAAAAAATAACAAAACTCTGAAAACAAGCTAAATGTCCAACAACAGGGGATGGTTTAAATGAATTATGGTACATCCATATAACACTAGTTCATTAAAAATAACATGGTGGATACTTAGTCATACAGAAGGATGCTGTGAGGGTTGCTGCTGAGGCAGAAACAGGTTCTATAGCAGGGAGGAGGGCCAAAAAAAGAAACAAGCAAGTCTGTGTTCTGATAATGTAGCAGGGGGAGGGCTTGGCATAGCAGAGAGATAAAACTTAAAGAATCTAAATGTGAAGAAGGTCATGTAGCATGGGGGGTGAAGTAGCCAATAGGATTGCATGCAACCATATATGAGTTAAACCTTGCTTTTTGCTTCTGTAACCTGCTTTGCAAGGGTATATAAGGTAAGACCCCTTTGTTCTTGGGGCTCAGCCTTTGGATGTGAATCTGCTGAGCTGCTGCCAGCATGCTAATAAATACTGCTTCCTGAAAAGCCTTGGTGTCCCGTGTCTCTGTTCGAGATTCCTGTAACAGTTCTACATGGGAGAGAAAGGGAGGAGAGAGAGAAGAAGAGATCTCTGAGGTACAAGTGTTCCATTCTTACCTTGGATCACCCAAAGTTCCTGAGTTCCTCAAATGCATCAAATAGACATTCTGCTGTTTGACATCCAGAATCCGGTTGAGGTAGTGGAGGTTCAAACTCTGAAAGCCAAAGTTAAGAAGAGCATTACATTCCCATTTTCACTCTATTATAACCCAATCACACACGATTCATATACTACCACTTTTGCATTTAAGAGAAATCCTGTCACAGTGTTTCAGAAATATTTCTTAGGAATTGATTTTCACCTTCTGTTTTTGGCAGTATTGGGGTTTGAATTCGGGCCTTCAAGCTTGCTAGGCAGGTGTTCCTTTACCTCCTTATAATGCCTTTCATTCTCTATGTCTAAGCTTGTGTTGTCCAACAGGGAAGCCACAGCCACACGTAGCTATTTAAATTTATTGATATAAAATAAAACAAAGCCAGTTCTTCAGTGGTGCTGGCCACATTGCAAGTGTGGCTAGTGACACACGTGGCTAGCGGCACAGAGACCATTTCCACCACAGGAGGGAGCGCTGCTGGGCAGCGCTGTAGGCTATTCAGGTGACATGGTGGCTCATGTGAGGCAGGGAAGGTATCCCAAGACCCCTGGAATTTGACTAAGAAAAGCATAAGAAAGTAGCAAGAGGCAGAAGTCTGCTGAAGTCCAGAAAAGAAGCTGACTGGCTACTGACAGATCCTATTAGCATCATCTATAGGGGAGAGTGTGACCTGTGGATTTTTTTCAGTCCCTAACCACTGGGAATCCAGGTGATGGGGTCTGATTAGGACCAGCTCTGCTGGACTGGAGAGATGGGTGAAATAACCAGACAAGAGTAGGTAGAGGGCCAGAGACAAAGAGGTGCTGCCAGAGCCACGAAGGCTGCAGCAGAAAGGTGAGGAGGAGGGGATGGAGGTAGGTGGAGGTGGCCCTTGAAGGAACTCAGCTGGACTTATTCTGGGAAGGCACGAAGGGCTTTCAGGGGTTGGCGATAAGGCCTACATCCTCTGAAGGTCATTCTGGTTGCCATGGGGAGAAAGGGCCAGACGCTCTTAGACATTGCTCTTGAGCCAAAAGCACCCTTGGTGAGCTCAGAAAGGAGACAGTAGAGTGCAGACAGCCCACTTCAAACAGGGAGCCTGTGAAGGAAGGGCCAGATGGCAGCTATAATGACCGTTACAGTTACCCTACATTCTAGAACGTTTCTAGCTGCTTGGCACTGCTCTCAGTCTGTATATATGGAGACTCATTTAATCCTCATTTTAATCCTGTGAGGGAAGACTTCTATTATTGCCACTATTCATAAGGGTTAAGTCCTATAAAGTCACACACACAATTGGTGAATTATTTCTCAGGGAACACAGGGTTAGGTTCCTGTGAGTCTCTGATCACAACATTCTCACCTGATCAATACATAACCTGTATTATGTGTATTTCTGATTAAAGACACCTCACTTAGTATATTTTGTTAATTCATTAACAGTGAACTTGGGATAATAGCACTATAAGTCATGTCTGAGTGAAACACACCTCACATCCATTTTCCATCACAGCCTTCTTGTACTGACCCTAAGCACTAGGCTTAAGGACTATTTTATTGATTGACTGGTACTGAGGATTGAACCCAGGGCCTTGAGCACACTACGGCAGTGCTCTATCACTTCAGCCATGCCCCAGTCCTTGGAAGCCATTTTTAAACAGCAAAATCACCAACAGAAAGCACTGAAGGGGCTCTGGACAGATTGGAGAGGATAGTTGTTTACACTGAGAGCTGAAACAAGAAGAAGGAGCAACGCCTTGTTTGACCTTTGCAGAGAATGAGCTCCCAGGGGAGGAATGGAGTTTTTGCCACTTTGTCCCTGTCTGCCAAATTACTGCCAAAGTGCCATAAGTATTGATCTGAGTTTAGCAAGCAGGCCAATTCACAAGGACAGACTATGTGAGGGTGCTTTTGTATTTTTACAGATGAGGAAACTGAGGCCCCAAAGGGTAACTTTCCCGAGGGCACACAGAAGCAGATACAAAGTGGCAAAGCTGGGGTTGAACCCAATCTATCTGGCCCCAGAGACTATGCCACAAGGGAAAGAATGAAAGGCCAGGAATCAAAGCAGGGCTTAAAACATGGGAGGGAAGTGTAAGAATGTGGGGGTCCTCTCAATGAACTTCCCTTCTCTCCAGGACCCTGGCCTCTCAAATCCTAGCTGTCTTGGTCTCTCTGATATCTTCCCACCACTGTCTTGGTTTTGTTTTAAATTTTTCTTATAGCTTTGAGGGTTGCTCTTGGTGGGAGTTTTGGTCAAATGTAGGTTACTTATTCACAGAGTGAAGCAGAAATCTTTTTTTGCTGCTGGGGATTGAACCCCAGGCCTTGCACATGCCTGGAGAAGGCAAGTGCTCTACTACTGAGCCACAGACCCAGCTCCCCCCAGTAGAAGTCTTTATTTCACTGGGGTTTTTTGTTTTGTTTTTGAGATAAGGTTTGAGGCCTCAAACCTGCCTCCCATGTGTTGGGATTACGGGTGTGCACCACCATGTCTGACTATTCAACTGTTTCTAATCATTAAAAGAAACCTTACCAAATACTCCTTGCCCTGTCTTACTTGTTTTTGTCAATTTAACCTTCATTAGGCAACTGCTAAATCTTTCATAACCTATCTTGTCCTCCATAGGGATCATGGTACCCTCCTTGCAGACTGGTTGAGAATTAAGAGAACAGAAATACTCCAAATACAGGGCCTAAGGGTGTTCAGTAAATTTCTGTTCTGAATGTCAATAAAAACATGCAGTCCCAGGAAGTTGGAGAGGCAGACTTTGACTCCTGGCCAAGGGAGAGCCTGAGGGTGGCAGATACAATCCACAATGGTGAGGTCATTTGTTTTGTGAGTGCTTCTGTGGAAGCCACCCAGCAGGTCACACAGAGCCCTTTAGACTATCCATCCCCAGAAGGCTTGCTAGCTTGTCTCTATGGTTCTACGTGTCTGTGTGCTCAGCAGAGCTCAGGGGATGCATTTGGGAAACACTATATAGTTTCTAGGCCTTAAATCTCAAGGTAAGGACCACTCAATGTCAAGGTCACTCATTCCAGGTGGCCAGCAGGGAGGTTGGCCTTCATCCTGAGGCAGCCCCTCAGCATTTTGGGCCAGGCATAAGCACAACACTTGAAGAGTGACTCAGTACCCTTCCCGGGATGGGGAAAATGAGCTGGCACAGCCACTTTTAGCAGCCGGTGTGTTGACTCCTGCCAGGCCCTTTGCCTAGTAATTCCATTCTGAGGAATTCAGCTGAAAGGAATTCAGTCCTTGCACAAGAGTGAGCAGAACAGCACAACTGCAGAATGGCAATCACTTGAAGTCCACACAAGGGGACTGGATAAAATGTGATACATTCACTCAACACGATGGTATCCAGCAGGGAAACCAAGTAAAGACACTCGCAGGCATCAATGTCAGGGGACACTCACAACCAGGCTCAAAAAGCCTTTCTGTAAACAGTGTATGGTTTAGGGAGACCCATGGAGGCAAGACTGTAGGAAAAGGATGGGATAATGAGCAGAATCAGGGTAGCAGGCTCCTCCAGGGCTGGGCAGGGCAGGGATGGGGCAAGCACAGGCCTTCTGAAGAACAAGCAAATTCTCTGAACCTGGTATAGGTAACATGGGTGTTTGCTTATTGTCTACATCCCTTCTGGCTGCTGTAACAAAATACCATGAACTGTGTGGCTTACAGACAGTAGGGACTTCCTTGTCACAGTCTTAAGAGGCTGGAAAAGTCCAACAGGGAGGCACTGACAGCTCTGGCATCTAGTGAGGGCAAGTTACTGGCTCATAGATAGCGCTTTTTCAGTGTCCTTACTTGGTGGAAGAGGTAACGCTCTTGGGCTGTGACTCATGAAGGCTCTATTCTCATGAGCTAACTACCTCCCAAAAGCTCCACCTAATGATACCATCACATTAGAGATAAGGTGGGGTGCATACAGTCCCTAGCATTTATTATCAAAGTGCTTAATCTTTAAGAAGTACAGATATTTTGCATACTTGTGTGTGCATAAACTCATGAATATTGTCTGTGAAAAATGAACTTAAAGTGAGCGAGGGTATAACCTGTTTCTCAGGTTATACCCAAAAGGTATATGATGGGTGGTTTTGTACCTGTGGGAAATGAACAGATGCCTAAAAGCCATCCTGGGGATGCATTAAGTGACTGCAGTAGAAGTCTGCAGGGTTATTTAAGAGGCAGTGGCATCAGGTTATCCCCTTGAAGCTGTTGCAGCCCCTGGTCACTTTTCCATTTGGATTAGAATCCTTCCAGCCTCTGGGGTGGGAGCTACAGAGCTGTACTCTTAAAAAAGTCATTTCTGTGGGTTCTGGGTTCTCACTAACAGATGGAGCAAGGATCACCCAGTGCTGGTGAGGGTGGAGGCCACCAGCTCCAAGAGTCTGTGGTACAGTAAAATTAGATGGTGACCTATGTGGCACTTGTATGGAATTTCTATTTAGGAGATCACAAGCTAAATCTCTATTTAGCTATTTAGGAGATCACAAGTTCCAGGCCAGCCTGGGATACATAGTGATATCCTGTCTCAACAACAACCAAAATGGTCCTGGGTTCAATCCTCAGTCTCACACATACATACATACACACACACACACACACACACACACACACACAAAACATGGCTGGAATGACTGAGGAGCTGGGTTTCAAGGTTTACTAAATTTAAATCCATTAAAATGATACTAAAGGTATTAAAAAGTATGTTTAGAACAACTTAACTATGTGAACTTCATTTTCAGTATTTATTTATTTACAGTGCTGGGGAGTGAATCCAGGGCTTCTGCATGCTGAGCAAGAACTGTGAATTTTATAAAATGTAAATATAGCTTGAGATGTTCCAGAGAAATCTAATATCGAACATCGAATTGAGATGTACAGGATATGAAGATACAACATTAACAATTGATGACATGCTCAAATATTTTGGATATACTAGGCTAAATACATTGTTGAAATTAATCTCACCTGTTTTTTTTTTTTTTTACTTCTTCAGTGTAGTTACTAGAAAATGTATATGGCCCGGATTCTATTTGTCAAACAGCTGCCCTAGACATCAAAGTAGGGGGTAGAGAAAGGATGAGAAGGCTGCCCCTGAACTCAGGTCCTGATGAATTCTGGAGTCCAAGGGGATCTTAGGGACCAACTTGAGGACCCTCAAGACTTTAAAATGACTGTCTGGACAGTGGTCCAGTTGCCATGCACCCAACTGCTGAGCAAGGGAGTTGTGGAATGGGTAGGTTAGACAACTGTAATTCAGGATGGAAAAAGGAGGTACAATGTGTGAACGAGTATGCTAAACATCTACAAAGTCCAAGTGACCCCTAACTCCACCATGCACCTCTAGGGGCTAGCATCACGCTGGACCCCAACATAACAGCACATGTTGTCATGCCCAGGTGCCCACACAGGCAGGGGAGAAAACCATGCCTGGCAGCTCCAGGGGAGGCCAGCGCAGGAATGAGTAATAAATGTCTGCTTTGGGAAGCAGGGATCCTGGGACCATCACCGCCACTCCCGCCTGTTTTTCCAGAGAACCTGGGTACCAACTTTTGCACATTGGCAAGCAATTTTAAATTTCTTCAAACGCGGTGTGGGCCAAATAACACATCAGTGGGCAGTGTAATCCTAAATCACTATACCTCTGAACTACATCCCCAGCCCTAAATCCACACTGAGCTCCACACACGGCTGGGAGCGGACTTCACCTGGTTCCTTCCTCTCCAACACATGTAGACTACCAGCCACTGGAGCCGACCCCTTCCTGGAATGCCCCTACCACTCCCTGGGCCTCTTCAAGACCCCCCACTGAGATTAAAAACAAAAAACAAAACAAAAAAAACCTTCTTTGGGCTTCTTCCTTGCAAGTCGCAGAGTAACAGATCAGTTCTTTCTTTGCATCCTCCAGGGAAGCGCTAAAGTGCTTACGTCAATCCAGTTTAATCCCCACGCCAGATCCCCAAAACGGGTGTTCCGGGTTATCTCCCCGGCACAGAAACGGAAGCCCTGCCTCGGAGAGGATCGGGGGTCCCCAAGGAGATACAGCTCTGCTGGGCCGGGGAGCCAGAATTTGGAATCAAGATGGGTCATTTTCCAAAAGCTGGACTGCAGCCCTGACGGGTTCACCTCGCTGAAAGGAAACATTTCGTTCTAAAACCCAGGTCGGAAAGATGCACGCATTAGGCAGCTCTGCACCTCATGCGTTCGGATTAAACCTAAATTCTTACGAAGGAAGCGACCAGCTTCGCAACAGCCACAGACCGGTCGGAACGCCTGGTGTCCACCTGCCCCGCCCCTGCCCGTTTCCCGCGCTCTTGCTGGGCGACAAAATTTCCCTCTTTCCATCACCCAACGGGAGCCAAAGCAACGGCTACCATCACACAGCGGAAGAAACGTTGTTCTGCTGCCGTCCGGCGTAGCCGAAAAGCGCGCACGCCCGCGTGCGTGCGTGCGTCCCCAAGCGCACGCGCATGCGTATCGTGCGTCCCCGGAGCACCCCCCCCCTCCGGCGCGCCCCCGTGCCCAGCGTGCACGCGGTGCGGATACTCACGGCGTGGGGGCGCTCGCAGGCCGCGGCGGTTCCGACTTGGAGACCCCGGCGGTCGCACGGTCCGGCTGGCTTCCTGTGACGCGGAGTCCAGAAGCAGGCGCGGGCCGGGCCCGGGGACGCCGTGCGGGGCAGCAGGCCGGCGGCTGCGCGGCACGCGAGCGTCCACATGCTGCGCCGGGTCTGCGGCCGCTCCGTCCCCGCCCCGCACCGGGACGCGGCGGCGACACCTGGTGGCCACGGGCCGCAGGCGCCCCGGCCTGGCCCCCAGCTTCAGGGCCCCTACCTGCTGTGGGAAAACAGCCAGAGGGAGACTGCAGGAAAACCGCCTGACATTGTGGGTGCAACTAGGAAGTCTGCTTTGGACCGATCCTGGAGTTCACCCCTCGGGCAGCATCATGAAGGTGAAACACCACCCCGACCTCAGTTTATTCACTCAGCAAACATATACTGAAGTGTCACTGCTCACTTCCGTGCTGATGAACAAAACAAGCACAAGTCCTGCTTTTAGGGGACTTCCACGTTGAGATCTCCAGCAGGCGAATCTTTGAATCTCTCTGTCACTGGGGGACTGGGATTACCTGGCTGAGGTTTGATCAGATGAGGGATGGCTGACGGTGGGTCTGGTCATTTGATTCGTGGATGTAGTCCAGCGCCAGCAGGGTTCTCACACTTTGGCAGCTCTGTTTCCTGGGCATATTTGAGAGGGAGTCTGCTTGGCCCTGCACAATGGCTGGGGTTGTCACTGCGCTGAGAACCTGTGGATTCAAGGAGTCGGCTAACTGCAAGCGGAGCCTTCTGCCTAGAGGGTTTTGGGGGCAAGAGCAGCACAGTTGGTGACATCCATGAGGTGCCCCCTGCTCTGCATTCCTTCTGCTGGAAAATAAAACCCAAGCCATTGTTTTTTTTAAGAGAAGTAGTGTGTTTTTTGGGAAAGGCTGTGCACATAGGTGGGTTTGTGGCTAGTACTAATCTCTGATTTACAGATGAAGACATGGAGGCTGAGAAAGTTTCAGTGATGTGTTCATGATTAAAATGGAATTGAACCTAGGCTTCCTGATTTCTGCACCAGTGCTTTTACCCTATAGTCTTAGACGTCAAGTTTCCTAGTTTTAGTAGTTCAGTCCCAGGGAAGAACTCTGATTGGCTCTGCTGGGATCACATGCCCTCCTCTTGGCAGCAGTCACTGTGCTGTGACTGATCCATGTCTTAGTCCATTTTGTGCTGTTAAAATACCTGAGCCTGGGTACTTTTTTTTTTTTTTTTGGTGGCCCTAGTGCTTGCTAGGTAGGCGCTCTTACTGCTTGAGCTACTCTGCCAGCCCTTTATTGTGATGGGTTTTTTTGAGATAGGGTCTTACAAGCTGTTTGCCCAGGCTGGCTTCAAACCATGATCCTCTGCCTCCTGAGTAGCTAGGATTACAGTCTGGAGCCACTGGTGCCCTGCCCCCTGGGTAATATGTAAAGAACAGTTTTGTTTTGCACAGCTCTAGAGGCTGGGAAAAGACCGGGGCACTGGCAGGTTTGGTGTCTGGTGAAGGACTTGGCTTCCACGATGGTGCCTTGAACACTGAATCTTCTGCAGGGGAAGGGTTCGGTTCCTCCACTGGCAGAGGGCTCCCCCACAAGCCCTCATGGCCTAAACACCTTCCAAAGGCCAGTACCGGTGCGCTGCAGATTAAAGTTTGAACATGAATCGTTGGAAGGACAAGAACATTCAAAACATACAAGACAGTTCAGGGGGAAGGGCATATGACCTGATGAAGAGCTCTGGGAAGGGCTTGAGGGTATGGCTCAAGCAGTAGAGCTTCTTCCTAGCAAGTGCAATACCCTGAGTTTCAAAACCCCAGTACCACCATGAAAACAAAGAGGGATAGGTAGGAAAGCTTCCAGGATCAATACTTCTGAAATAGTTTTTTTTTTAAAACAAATATAAGCCATGAATAACTTATAATGTGCTAATCATGGAAATGTTCACTGGCCAGAAAAAAGGAGGTATGGATTTATTTTCTGGGAATGGCTCCCTGCAGGATTCCTTGGGGCCATGTGTGATAGGATTTGATCCTGGCTCTGACACATTAAGAGCTTTAGGCAAAAGCCTCTCACTTCTTAAAGAAAAAGCAAAACTGTCTTCTTGGAGACTCTGAGCTCTGTGTTTGATGTCCAACACTACAAAAAACAAACTGCCAGGGATGTATGTACAGAGGAAAAGGAAAGAACATATGAAGCAGCAGCAGGAGGGAGCCCTCCACAGGCCAAGAAGAGAGTCTTCAGAGGACATCAACCTTGCCAGATGACCTAGAACTTCCAGCCATTTCTTCCAGAAATTGGAGAAAATAACTTTGTGCTGTGTAAACCACCCCAGGTTATGGAGCTTTGTTTTGGCAGCCTTAGTAGAGTCATACAAGAGGGAACCAGGAAGACAATGCTGGGTTAAACAAGGGTAGAAGAAACTGTAGTCAGTAATGAAAAGAGAATTCTGGAATAAGAGGGCTACACAGCTGGAGAGTGTCCTTCAGGCCTGTAAAATAGTGCTGTTTGGGATTACCTTCCTAGACAAGGGTCAAAGTTAATCCAATCAGCATTCTACACGTTGATATTCTTTTAGCAGTACTGGGTTTGAATTCAGGGCCTCATACTTGCTAGGCAGGTGCTCTACCACTTCAGCCACTCCACCAGCCTGTCTTTGGTTTGCTTAATTTTTGGATAGGGTCTCATGCTTTTTCCCCAGGCTGGCTTCAGACCACCATTCTCCTACCTATGACTCTTCCCCAGGGCTATCCTTGATCCTCTATCCTCCCAATCTTCATCTCCTGAGTAGCTGGGATTACAGATGGGAGCTACTGTGCCTGGCCCAAGTTGATACTCTTGAGACCTAATTAATAGTAAATGTAAGTCAATGTTGTCATGGAGCAGAGGTTCTTAGTAGTCACACTGTTAACATTCTGGGCTGCATGATTTTCTCCTGTGGGGCTGTCCCATGCATGGTTAAATATTTAGCAGCACTCATAGCCTCTAGCCACTAGATGGCAGTAATAGCTGCCCTCTATCCATATATCACAGTCAATAACGTCTGGAGTCATTGCCCAAAAGGTTCAGAGGTCAGCAGGAAGGGTAGGAGTGGGATTGAGGCAGGAAATCAGGTCAAAGGGAACAGGTAGCCTCTTTGCAGATCATCTGGATGGGAACAGGTGGTGTAGCTTCACCCAGAACAACCCCAAAATGCCATTTTTTGAAATAGCATTTTCATCTGGACCCAAAAGGGCCCCTAAGCCTAATGAATGTGGACTGCAGTTCATGAATTAACAGAGTGAATTCACAATCAATCTGCCAATCACCAAAAGCCTCTTCTAAGTACCACCCAAGTCCCCCCACCCCTTTGTTCACCCCTTATAGTGTATAAATACCCACCACCCAAACCAAGGCACCAGCATTCTTGAGCTACAGGTGCTGTTCTTAAGCCACCTTGTCAGAGCCTGCTCTCACACTTGGGAGTGTAACTTCCTCCTCTCTGGTTTTCAATACAACTTTGCTGCTGCTTTGCAATCTGTGTGTCTCTAATTCTCTGTTCAGGATGCCAAGGGCCTGAGGTGATCTGAGCTAGGGTCTTCTGAGACTACCCACCCTGTAGTGGGTGGGAGAGGTAAAAGTGCCCCTGGTTGTCAGCCGCCAGTTTAGAATAACTTTGAATTATAGGCACAAAGTAATCTTTTTGCCTTATTTCCAAGCTTTAGGTAATTTTCATAACCGTTCCAATCCCTGTGTCCTCGGTCCATTTCTAATCTCAGAGTTTAAGTTTCTTTCCTGTGAAATGCAGCTAATGGCCTACACCTCAGAGATTTGCATGAGGAGTAAGTAAGATCACATATGCAGAACACAGCGATCAGCAAATGCTAATCACACACTTGGCCTCATGGCTGGTCTCCGTGTCTTTGAAGTGGCATGTTTATACAACTGTGTCTCCAGAGGGCAGAAGCACCCTTGGGAACATTTTGCCAGGGACAGACATCTGGTGTGTGCCCTGTGTTTCAGGGCATGGCAGGCTGCTGTCGATTACTGAGAATCCAGGTCCCTGCAGCTGAACTTGGGCTTCCCCTTGTACTCCAGGCTGGCCAAGGAGGAGGGTGGCTTTAACCAGCGTTAGGTGAGGAGGGGTGGTACTGGTTGCTCCTTCCTTAACTTTGATGGTCATCAAATAACAGCTCTTCCTTTTCCCCCTTACTGTCACCCCCCACGGCTGTGCTGATCACTCACTCTAGGGGAAGCATGCTGTGGGGACCTGTGGAGAGACCCACCTTGTGATTTCCTAAGGTCTCCAGCCAAAAGCTGGAGAGGAAATGGGGCTTGCCAACAACCATGTGAGTAAGCTTGGAAATGGATCCTCCTACCCCATGACAGCAGATTATGACCTCCTGGGAGACCCTGGTCTGGGACCGCAGAGAACATTTGTTCTCATGTTGTAGAGTCCAGAATGTGTACCAAATATACTCTCTGTTCTTCCATCACTAGGCACTGTGAAATGCTTTATGGGTACTTCATTTAGTCCTCTAAATAGCCATTTAGGGTGCTATTCCAGTCTCCATTGTACAGATCAAGGCTCACAGGCTAATTCCTTTGTCCAAATCCTCCAGGCTGTAGGTACCTGAGCTGGGTTGGGTCTTTTAGCCTACTGTCCTGCTATTCTGTCATTTGCTCTTCCCAGCTGAGGCTTGTGGAATATGGCTTGTTTTATCCTAGGAATCATTCCCAAACAATGGCATTCATTGAGCTCCTTGGCTCCAGGCCACAGTCCTTCCCCTCTGTTATGTCTGGAAGGTCAGGTGGCTTCAGTCTCCTGGAGATGGTCTACCCCATGCTATTTCTCAGTTCCTGGCTCCTCTTTTTGCCACCCTTCTAACACAACTTTCGGTCATTCCCATATTGCTTATTTGCTCTTGGATCTGTATCTCTCTGTTTTGTAGAAGAGCTGGTTCCTACATTTACACTTCCCGTTGACAGTTAGCTGCAAAACAGATTCAGGCAATGAGAGGTTTTAGCAGAGGCTGGGGAGGTGGCAGGGAGAAGGCAGAGTACCTTTTCTCTCTGCCCTACTCCTTCTCCCCTCCCCACTCCATCCTCCTTGGGCAGCATCTGTAGCAGTGATAGGGTCTCTCTGGTTCCATCTCTCGCTGGACAGGTCACCATGATTTTTATTTTAGTCACTGTTCCTTCAGCCCTCTAGTTGTAGTTGTGGCAATGCACATTCTGCTTTGCTAATTTTGCTTTAGTCTCATTTCCCTTCTTTCAGCTCTTCTACATCTTAGTCATGAATTCTCTACATTAAATTTCACTGAATTTCCTGGCCTATGTACTTCAGGTTGGACCCCAAATGATACCTATATCTATATTCTGGACTTTATTGTATCCTAAATTGTTTTTCTTTAGATACCTTCACCTACAGGACCCTGCTTTCTGATTTCACTCTCCATTCTTCCATCTCACTCATATTCATTCTTCTTGTTATGTTGCCCCATCCAGCCTTCCTTCCACCCATCCTCCCATGCACCCATCCATCTACCCATCCATTATCTATCGAGCTTCTACAGCTCCAGGCAGTGTGGTTGCTGATGATACGGTGGTGAACAAGATTGGTAATGAACATGTTCTTGTGCAGGCAAAAGATAATTTAAAGGCATTTACAAAGCCACGTAAGTGCTATGGTGGGGGTAATTGCAGAGTGCTATAGGAGCACTGAAGAGTGGCCTTATCTGGACCTGGGAGGTGACAAGGGCATGAGTCCTTGAGACCTGAGAGATGAGGAGTTGACTGAGCAGAGAGGAAGAGCAGAACAGGCAGAGGGGACAGTGTGGACGGACCCAGAGGCTAAGGGCAGAAGGACCAATGCTCCAAGG